CGATGGTAAATCTTTTAAATTAAAATTACTAAAAACTAACAGCCTTCACTTTGACTAGTTCCACATTATGTTAGACAAAAAATGTGCACAGCATGTAGGCTGCAGAAAAACAGTCAGACTAGCATAAAAAAAAAGAAATAAAATAACAACGGCATCACTTTGTTCGTTATGACACAGAGGTTGCTTATATTTTAAATATAAAAAGTGAGTATTTTTAAGGCTATTATTCTTCAGTTTTCTCTAAAAACATATTGTTCCGTTTGAAAATGTAGGTTAAATTCAATGGATAAATAACCTGGTCGATGACACCCGAGACTGTCTGAAGTTCTACAAGAAGCATTTAATCTGTAGTCATAACACAGCTGCCTGAAGAGCTTTGGTCAGTCTCAAAGTAGTATTTGTTCATGAGTTATTTGCACTGATTAGTGTTGCTTTAAAACTAAAGGTGGAAATGAAAAGATTCAGTCGAACACAAAAACAGCTGAACACACTAGTTCTTCTTTTTCTTTCGGCTTTGTCCCTTTTTCAGGGGTTGCCACAGCAAATCATTGATTTCCATCTCTCCCTGTTCTCTGTATCTTCTACTCTGACTCCAACTACCTGCATGTCCTCCCTCACTGCATCCATATATCTCCTCTTTGGCCTTCCTCTCTTTCTCCTACCTGGTAGCTCCATCTCTAACATTCTTCTACCAATGTATCCACTGTCCCTCCTCTGCACATGTCCAAACCATCTCAATCTGGCTTCTCTAGCTTTTTCTCCAAACCTTCCTGTCTGTGTTGTCCCTCTAATGACCTCATTCCTGACCCTGTCCATTCTTGTCACTCCTAAAGAGAATCTTAGCATCTTTAACTCTGCCACCTCCAGCTCCTCCTCCTGTCTTCTGCCTATTGCTACTGTCTCTAAACCATACATCATGGCTGGTCTCACCACTGTCCTGTAAACCTTTCCCTTCACCTTAGCTGACACTCTTCTGCCACCGATCACTCCTGACACTTTTCTCCAGCTGTTCCATCCTGCCTGTACTCTATTCTTCACCTCTCTTCCACAGTCTCCGCTGCTCTGAACAGTTGATCCTAAGTACCTAAACTCCTGCACCTTCACCACCTCTGCTCCTTGTAGCCTCACTATTTCACTGTTCTGCCTTTCGTTTACACACATGTACTCTGTCTTGCTGCGACTGACCTTCATTCCTCTTCTTTCTAGTGCAAACCTCCACCTCTCTAGGTTCTCTTCTAGCTGCTGCCTACTCTCACTACAGATCACAATGTCATCTGCAAACATCATAGTCCATGGGGACTCCTGTCTGACCTCATCTGTCAATCTGTCCATCACCACAGCAAACAAGAAGGGGCTCAGGGCCGATCCTTGATGTAGTCCCACCTCCACTTTGAAGTCTTCTGTCCTCCCAACAGCGCACCTCACTACTGTTGTACTATTCTCATACATGTCCTGCACCAAACTAACATACTTCTCTGCCACTCCTGACTTCCTCATACAAAACCACAATTCCTCCCTTGGCACTTTGTCATATGCCTTTTCTAGATCTACAAATACACAATGCAGCTCCTTCTGACCTTCCCTGTACTTCTCCATCAACATCCTCAAGGCAAATATTGCATCTGTGGTACTCTTCCTAGGCATGAAACCATACTGTTGTTCACAAATCTCCACTTCCTGCCTCAACCTAGCTTCAACTACTCGTTCCCAAATCTTCATTGTATGGCTCATCAACTTTATCCCTCTGTAGTTGTTACAACTCTGTGCATCACCCTTCTTATGAATTGGCACCAGAACACTTTTTCTCCACTCATCAGGCATCTTGCCAGTCTCTAAAATTCTGTTAAACAAACCAGTCAGGAAATTTACTGCCACTTCTCCTAAACACTTCCATACTTCCACTGGTATGTCATCAGGACCAACTGACTTTCCACTCTTCATCCTCTTCAGGGCTTTTCTAACTTCATCCTTTCTAACCTGATCTACCTTCTTCCTACTAGTCTCTGGCTCCTCGTTTCTACTTTCCCTTTCATTTTCCTCATTTAACAACTCCTCAAAGTATTCCTTCCATCTTCTCAGCACACTTTCCTCACTTGTGATCACATTCCCCTCTCTGTCCTTAATCAACCTCACCTGCTGCACATCCTTCCCAGCTTGATTTCTCTGTCTCGCCAATCTATACAACTCCTTTTCTCCTTCCTTTGTTTCCAAACTCTCATACAACTCCTCATATGCCTTTTGTTTGGCCTTGGCCACTTCCCTCTTCACCTCCCTTGTCCTCTCTTTGTACTCCAGTCTGTTCTCTTCTGTTCTGTCACTGTCCCATCTCTTCTTCGCTAATCTCTTTCTCTGCACACTCTCCTGGATCTCCTCATTCCACCACCAGGTCTCTTTGTCCTCCTTTCTCTGCCCAGAGGACATACCTAGCACCTTCCTACCTGTCTCCCTAATCACTGCAGCTGTAGTCTCCCAATCATCTGGGAATATCTCAACACTACCCAGAACTGCCCTTACTTCCTTCCTGAAGTCTTCACAACATGTCTCTTTCCTTAGTTTCCACCACTTGATCTTCTGCTCTGTCTTCACTCTCTTCCTTTTTGTCACCTCCATCGTCATTTTACACACTACCATCCGATGTTGTTTGGCTACACTCTCACCTGCCACCACCTTACAGTCTCTAATCTCCCTCAGATTACATCTTCTACATAGAATATAATCTATCTGTGTGGACCTGCCTCCACTCTTGTAAGTCACCCTATGTTCCTCTTTCTTTTGGAAATATGTGTTTACCACAGCCATTTCCATTCTCTTTGCAAAATCTACCACTGCCTGTCCTTCTACGTTTCTCTCCCTAACACCAAACCTGCCTATCACTTCCTCATCTCCTCTGTTCCCTTCCCCTACATGACCATTTAGGTCTGCTCCAATCACCACTCTCTCTCTCCTGGGGATACTCTCTACCATCCAATCTAGCTCCTTCCAGAACTTCTCCTTTTCTTCCAACTCACAGCCCACCTGTGGGGCATAACCACTAACAACATTAATCATCTCTCCTTCTACTTCTACCTTCACACACATCAACCTGTCTGACTCTCTTTTCACCTCTACCACATTTCTTACATATTCTTCCTTTAGGATCACCCCTACTCCATTTCTCTTCCCATCTGAACCATGATAAAACAGTTTGTAGCCTCCTCCAATGTTTCTAGCATTACTGCCCTTCCACCTGGTCTCCTGCACACACAAAATACTCTTCTTCTCTCCATCACATCAGCTATTTCTCTACTTTTCCCTGTCATTGTACTTACATTCAAAGTTCCAAACTTCAGACTAACACGTCTATTCTTCATCTTTTCTCTTTTTCTTCTAACCAAACGCCCTCCTCTTCTTCTCTGTCTCTGACTCTGACCAACAAATGTACTAAAGACAGAATTTTCGCTGCATTTGACCCGTCTATGACCCAGGAGCATTCTACTGCACTATACTTCGCCAAGAGCAATACACCAACAACTTTTTAGCTTCCATTTATATGCAGGAAAAAGCATCCAAGTTCTAAATAATCATTAGATATTACTGTATTTTTCGGACCATGAGGTGCACTGTCGATTTTTGAGAAAATTTAAGGCTTATAAGTGCGCCTTATAGTGCAGAAAATACGGTATTCTTCTCCTTATGTGGCATCATTCCAACTTTCTCTCCACTATCTTTCTATTTTGGCTGAAAAGCCTTAAAAGTTAAGGCGAAGAGAAGATCTGAGGAGATCAAAGGAGTAGAGGAGGGGAGAGAGGAGAGAAGAGAAGCTCTCACCTTGTCTCCATCAGAGTACGGATAGAAGCAACAGTCGGTCCAGATCCGAGATGATTGTAGTAGGGCCCTTCAACTTTCTCCAAGATTTGTTCTTGAAAAGGAACACACATTTAGGTATTACTAATAAATCTCTCATATCTTTTTATTTTATTTTTCTCCATTAACAACATTAATCTACAGGTTTCATACAGTTACTCACTACACTCTTTTTTAACGTATTACTTTAGTTAGAAATAGGGAACTGGTCTGTTTTCTTATGGTTAAAATTCTCCACTAATGTGTGAAAACCCTAAATGAACTGTTGGAGCAGTGTTGGTAATGATGACTTGAGAACCTTCATGTCATATGTTGTATCTGATGTTGTAGTTCTTGAGCATTTTTAATCAGACTGTCTCTGAATTCCATGATTTAAAAGACTTTAATGAGCCCTCTTGTCCTACGTATTTTGGTCCATTCTGGTCTGTAAGTCTCTACTTCTTATTACATCTCAGTTTGTGTGTAGGGTTTGATGCTAGATCAAAAGTAGAGCTGATTTGTTTCGATTGGGGCTGGGGGGTTTGTGAAAAGAAAACTTCTTCTTTGCAACATGAGCCAAATCATATGAGAAACGTGAGAATCTACCACTGATTGCAACATCCACTTCCCACAAATACTGGGACACATATTAATACACTGCTTACGCTCAAACACCAGGCAGTGACTGCAGGGCATGGTGCTTGAGTGAAATCACACACTGCAAAGAGGAGGATGTTTGAGGGAAGCATCAATGACTTAGTGTGTGTAAATGTTAAAAAAGAATAAAGGGTGTCTCTGAATGTGCTTCTCTGTGTGTGTGTGTGTGTGAGTTTGTGTGTTGTTGTTGTTGACCACTGTTTCACAGATGTCTGGAATGCCTTCACTGTGTAGCTGCATGTAATGTGTTCTACATTAACAGTAAATCAATTTTAATTTTTCAGCAGTTACATTTAAAGAAACAAAAAAAAAATTAAAATGATAGATTTAATTCTATTTTAAGATGCTAATCACTAGGGCTAAAGTAAGGACCACAGAAGTATTGAGTTAGACGGCATTTTGCCAGTGGCACGTTGGCCCAGAGGCAATGACTCTGTCATTGGTGTGGAACCCCAGGGTTCACCTCCTTGGCCAGTTCAAGTCCCGGTTAGGGTGGTTGCCGCAGGAAAGGTTAGGGGGCTTGGTACGGTCCAGATGGATGCAGAAAGACATTTATGAAGGGGTTGACAAATATAAACAAATTAAATAATATTAAATATAAATTGATCTTCTCATTCATTTTAATACATCACAGACATTTATCAGATGGTAGCCCCTAAAGGGACACTATGTACTATGTAATTGTAAATAACAATTACAATAAATTTAAAAAATGTATCAAAGTAACCTTTACTGATTATACACATCTTTGCTTAGTACTTGTAATTAATCCAAAGTACTAAGATGAAACGATCTTACAGATAAATCATAGTCACTAAAATACTATATTCCATTAATGTTAAAAATGTTGTGATATTTTTGGCTCAATGAGAGCATGAGGTCAGATTCTACTGTTGATGCAGGGAGGAACCAGGGCAAGAGGTGGAGGAGTGATAGTACTGCATTACAGTGTGTGTGTCCTTACAGATAAGAGCAGTTAGGATGACCAAGTGATGATCAAATATTTTTTAAACCTAATCTAAGTCTAAAATGAAAAAACTTTGGATTCAGAATCTAAAGTCTGGTCTCTTTGCTCTTCAGTGACAGAAAATGAAATATCGTTGGAGAAAACATAGTATTTGAGTGGAAAAAACCTTTGAGGTTTTAGAAATATTTAAAGATATGTTTACATTTTTTCTGCACATTATAAACCATTGGGTTAACCAATAAATTGAGGAAATACATTGATTCATCAAGGGCAAATCGTTCAGTAGACACTACTCCGCATTGTGTACTTTTCCTGCCATGTTATACATGTTATATACACTGTTGCTGTGTTAAGCAGTTGAGAACGTTTTATATATTGAGCTTTATTGTCTAATTGATGTGAATTATGTTTTTACTGAAAGTGCAGTTAAAGTGTATGAAAACATTTTTCTGCCAAAACAGCAGCAAACCCCCAACCTTACTTTTCTGTAGGTTTATGTCTGGCACTTCTTCTATTGTTTCTTTGTGCTGCCTTCATTGTCACTTACACATTATAGATGGCCACAGTCATAAAACACCAACACATTCTTAGACACACTGAACAAGAATCCTCAGAGACGCTGGCAGAGGAGGACTGAAATATCTAGTCTGTGTACATTAACTAGTAAAGTGAATTTTGTTCAGTGTCATTCATTGAAATTTCTAGTTGTTTTCTATGTTGTTTTGACTAGAAACAACAGAGAGTTAGTCTAAAGTGGTTAGTCTATAAGTAAGTTTTTTTGCCAAAAATATTTTATTTATTTATTTATTTATTTTAGGGTTTTTTTTAAACTACCGTATTTTCCAGACTATAGAACGCACCTGAATATAAGCACACTAAGTTTTAAAAAAATATATATAAATTTACATATATATATATATAAGGCACACAGGACTATGGGCCGCTGATATCCAGGTTGAGAAATGAGATACTTACCGGTTCATGCCACCTGCTTTTATGCCCTCTGAAAGCCTTTGTCGTCTTTTATCATTGAGTTCTTCCCACTGCCGTCTCCAACGTCTCACCATGGATTCATTAACACCAAGCTTACGTGAAGCAGCCCTATTTCCTTCTTGGCTAGCCAGATCAATGGTCCTCAACTTAAAAGCTGCATCATACGAACTTCTTCGTGTGTTTTCCATAATGAGGGGGTGAGGGTGTGAAAATAATTTGCTGTCGTGCGTGTTGTGTTGCATGTGCTAAATAAAAACTAGCGTGTTCTTCTTTGCACTGACTTCCCCTGTCAGTCTTGTTTTAGCACTTCCTGCTAGAACGCCCCCTGGCGGCTGAAGAAAAATCCATAGAAAAGCCGCATCTTTGTATAAGCCGCATGGTTCAAAACGTGGGAAAAAAGTAGCGGCTTATAGTCAAGAAAATACGGTATTGCAATTACTTTAATTAAATTAATGAAACAGAATTACTTGTCACCACTGCACACAATGAAATCTGACCTCTGTGTTTAACCCATCACCATAGTGAACAGAGGCAGTTCAAGTGGCCCGGGAGCAGTGTGTGGGGAGTTTCATGCTCTTTCGTGCACTTCAGTGACAATTTTCGCAGCTGAGGGACACAAACCTGTGCCCTTCCAAACCCAAGTCTGCTTCCTTAACCACCTAGCCACCACTGTAGAATGTACGTTCACAGTGCGTTTTATATAAGCCATCACTGGCAGTTAGAAACACAGACTTACCCACACAGTTGCAAAGGGGAAACTCTGGCTGTAAATCTTTGGAAGGAGTATCCAACAGGTTCTTGGTTGGGGTATCCAGGTAGTGCAAAGGAGACTCCAGGAAGCCTTTGAGAGATGGAGAAAAGGGCAGACTGTCCTTTGTGGGTGTGTCTTCCTCAGAAAAGCATGTGGTGGACAGAACTGCTACATCTCCTGAGGCTTCAATCTTCATACGTTTAGGAAGGGAGGAACAAGGCAACTTCTCCAACACACTGTGCTGCTGCTGGTCTACAACTGCATCCTGATGTGGAAGGCCATGCTGCCCCACAGCTGGGTGTTCTGTGGATGCCTGGTTTGAAGTTGCTCCACTCTGGGTCTCACATACATCCTTGTTAACTTCCACTGCCTGATCATCTGGGTGAAGTGGTAACATAGCTTGAGTGGAAGTAGCAACTGAGGGTGCTGGCTGAGAGGTGGATGATGATGATGATGATGTGGGAATGAGGTCCTGTGGATTATTGTTAAGCTGATTTTCCAGTTTTGAGGCTTCAGCTGTTTGCTCCATAGACTGACATGTAGGTATATCTGGTGTCGTTTCCCCAAATTCAGCCTCAAACTGGCGAATCAGGTCTTCGCACTTCGGGTCTAAATTGAGAAGTAATTGTGAGGTGCTGGATGAACAAGTGGAGGTCAGAGGTACAGTGGTGCTGGTGTTACTGGGGGCTGGGGTGTCCACTCCTTCTGACTCTGACAAAGCAGAAATAGCAGAAGGGGAAGTCATTGAGGAACTGGCTATGGATACCTGAGATTGGGCTGGGGCAGGGAGGCCTGCAGCAGCAGCCTGAGTGGAGTTACTATGTAAGGGCAGCGGGGGGAGGCAGCCTGGTTGCAGGCTGTTTTGAGCCGCAGCCCTGTCCATCATGAGGACGGATGGTTTTTGTATAGCTATCTGGATCTGAGGCAGGAAGGTTGGCATGGAAGCTTTCTGCTTAACCTTCTTGATGATTATCTGTTTGGGTTTGGGCAGGGTAGAACCTGGAAGCACCCCACACGCAGCTTTTGTTAAAGGAGATCCATGGACACCTTTATTCTTCCTGGGTTCCTTTGGCTCCTGTTTGATGGCCAGATGTGAAAGATCGTCTACCTCCATCTGCAGCCAGCATTTTTTCAAACTTTGGCAAGTTGCATGTTGGCCAGATGCACCAAAACTGGAGGAGTGGTTAGGGAAGAGGTTCCTTTTGTGATGAAGGTGGTGTTGCAGAGCTGCCTGAGTGGAGTGGCTGCTGGTCGCTTGGCCAGGTGACAGCAGAGTGCCAGAATAGTGCTGACCTTGCTGCTGACCATTAGCCATACCATAATGTCCCATTGTGGCGGTGTGATTTTGGTGCTCACCCATGTCTGGCTCCTGCTTTAACCTGGACAGTGTTGGTTTATCCTGGACCTGGATAATTCCATTCTGTTTCAGGTTGAGCTGCTGTGTGACTGGCAGCTTGAAAGAAGCATTGCTGAACTTACCACTTGTGCCACCGAGCAGTTGTTTGAGCTCTGACATTGGGTCCGAACTATTGGGAGTTGCAGTGACAACATCGGAGTGTGGCTCAGATTTCATATACATCCATGAATTCCTTTTTTCATGGCCTCTTCCAGATATATGCTGCCATTGTTGTGGATTGGCACTGAAGCTTTTAGGCTTTCTTTGACCTGGGAAGGGAGAGGTAGAAGAAGGGAGTGGGGCAGCATGTATTGGCTGGCCCTGGGATTTGGGTCTGTGTTGTTCAAAGGGCAGTGGACCCTGCTGGTTGTTGTGTACTGCAGGGGGGACAGACTGAGAGCGTGAAGACGATGAGTGGGAGCTAGGAGAGTGTGGGAACAAATTAGAACCATTATAGGGATAGGAGAAGAGGTTCTGTACATGTTGATGGTGGAGGTGTTTGTGTGGGGTTTGACTGGTAGAGCCACCGGGTTGTGGACTGGTACCAGATAGTTGTGTCAAAGCTTCTATAGCAATGGCTGTCTGAAGATTGATATTCTTTTCCTTAGCTATAGAGAGCACCTGGGGAGAGCAAGTGATTGGGGGTTTGGTGCAGGGCACCTGGCTTGGGTGAGGGCCTTGAAGCTGCTGAGAGTATGATGCATGCTGGCTTCCATTGGCTTGGGAGTAGGGCTGAGACTGCTTCTTCAACTGGGGTAGCTGTTGATGAGCCTTCTCTTTCTTGTGGGCATTTTGGTTCTCAGTGGTTGTCAACTTGATCCTCTTCTCCAGCCACTCAAGATAGTCTGGACATTCTGGGCCATCACAGTTGCAGTTGGGAGGTTTGTGTCCATGCTTAGCTTGAATTAGTGCTGTCTGTAGAGTGTTCAGGTCCTCTGGAGATTGGCAGCTTCCTTCAGACGCTTGTGCAGGGTGTCGGGCCTGACCTCCTTCGGCACACATCTCCTTGGTGAATCTCTCATACAGGTGGGCTGTGTTAGGCTGCACAAGACGGCAGGAAGATGAAGAGGATGGGGGCAAGGAGCCAGCCAGAGCAGAGAAAGCCACCAGGTTGTAAGCATCCTCCATATTTGCATGATGGACAGGTTTATGGTTATTTGCATCATCACTGCCATACCAACATGGCTGCTGCTGTTGTTGGATGTCACTGACTTTGCCATGTCCTGGCACCCAGAAATGACTTGGAGGTGCACTGTTTGCCCTCTGTTGCTGTGTTTCCATCGATGCCTCATTGTTGTTATGGTAGCTATTTACCCCATTGGCTAGTTCCATGCTCAGTACGCCTTCCTGGAGGCGGTCATGTGACCAAATTTCCATCTGGCCTCCACTTCTGGGGCCATCCACTGATGTGACCTCACGTACAGTCTGAAAGAAACATGAGGGATAATGTTAATGATATGAAAAATAACTAAATTAAACACATGTGACTGATGTGTATAAAACCTCTCACTAAAGAGTGATTATGGAGTGACCCCCACTATAATTGTGGTGACAATTAATTTAAAACGTGTATTGGCTTCTCTCTCATCTCTTAGTCTCACAGAGCTGCTGTGTCACATGGGTGAGGCTATTCTTCTTTTTCTTTCGGCTTTGTCCCTTTTTCAGGGGTTGCCACAGCAAATCATTGATTTCCATCTCTCCCTGTTCTCTGCATCTTCTACTCTGACTCCAACTATCTGCATGTCCTCCCTCACTGCATCCATATATCTCCTCTTTGTCTCCTACCGGGTAGCTCCATCTCTAACATTCATCTACCAATGCATCCACTGTCCCTCCACTGCACATGTCCAAACCATCTCAATCTGGCTTCTCTAGCTTTTTCTCC